CTGGATTTCTCAGACTGCTCATGGGGCTACTAAAGGGTTTCAAGCCTTGGAACTGTGGCCCTGCTGCCAGGAGGACCCAGTGTCCCCACACCAGACCCTGGGGCCTGTGTCCTGGGGAACATGGGGCTCCCTTTGCCCCTGCTCTGCCCATTACTGTCCCCACCAAGGCCCCTGGTGCCACAGGGAGGTGGCAGCTCTGGTGACAAGCCATCGTTTGCTGCCTCATCCCTAACCCCAAGTGTTGTGTGCAGGAGGAGCTCACCAGTACCAGCGTGGAGCATCTCATCATCAACCCCAACGCTGCCTATGAGAAGTTCAGGGACAAGCGCCTGGGCACCGAGGGAGTGGGTGAGCCAAGGACCATGGGGAAGGGTGGGCTGGGGAACACTGGGCTACCCCTGAGAGCTTTGGGGTGACCCTTTGCTCTTCTCCTTCTAGATTTCTCTGACCACATCACCAAGACCAGGACAACGGGCTATGAGTCTGGGGAGTATGAAATGGTGAGAGCAGAGATGCCCAGAGCACGGGCCCCACAGGATGTCCCTGCCCAGGGCCACCAGTCACACCAACCTCCAAAGGGTGGAGGTGGGATGGGACCTCTGGAGGTCTGGTCCAACCCACCTGCTCAAGCAGGGCCATTGAGGTTGCCCAGGACCATGTCCAAGGCTGGTGACTCCACCATCTCCATTGCCAGGTGTAGCCTTGGCAGTGCTGAGGGATGCCCTTGCTCAGCCACCATGGTCCTGGTGCTGCCCACACCATGATGGGTGTCATGATGGGTCCGCCAAGACTTCTGGAGCCTTTTCCAGAGCTGCTTTCCAGCATATCCTGGTGCCAGGGGCTGGTCCTCCCCACCCCAGGTCTTTGCACTGCTCCTTGTTGAGCTCCATGAGGTTCCCTTTGACCTGTGGGTCCTGTCTGGGTCCCTCTGGACAACAGATACCACAAGGTGAGGATGTAGTGAGGATGAAGCTCACCCTGCCCCATCCTCCAGACCATTAATGAAGGTGTCATTAATGAAGGCATCAGCCCCAGCACTGACCACTGGGGTACACTGGTCCTTACTGGCCTCCAGCTGGACTTTGGGCTGATGCTCACCATCCTCTGGGCTTTGCTCTTTGGCCACTGTCAGTGCACCCCATGGCCTATTTGTCCAGCTCAGACTGCAAGAGCTTCTCTTGGAGACAGTGCCAAAGGCTTTCCTGAGGTCCAGCAGACTCTGCCCATGGCTCCACCTTGTCTACCAGCCATTTCATTGTAGAAGTCTATGGAGCTGGTCAAGCCTGAACCTCCTCTTGGTGAAGCCACACCGAGATCTCTTGATGTTTGTTTGTGTTTCATGGACCTGGGAATGGTTTCCAGCAGTAGCCTTGGAGTCACACTAAAGCTGGGTCATGGGGAGCTTCTCCTCACCCAGCACCCCAAGTCCTTCTCCTCAGGCTGCTCCATCCAGTCTCCCCCAGCCTGTGTCTGTGCTGGGCTTGCCCCGACCCAGGGGCCGGACCTTGCACTTGGCCTTGTTGAGCTCCATGAGGTTTGCATGGTCCCACCTCTCCAGCCTGTCCTGGTCCCTCTGGATGGCACCACTGACCACCACTTGGACAGGGAACCATTGACCACATCTCTGCGTGCAGCCATCCAGCCCATTCCTCATCCACCAGGTGCTCCACCCACCAATTCCATGTCTCTCCAGTGTCAGATGCCTTGCACAAGTCCAGGTAGATTCCATCCTTACCCACCAACACTGTGTCTCCATCATAGAAGGCCACCACATTTGTCAGGCATGACCTGCCCTTAGAGATGCCATGTAGGCTGTCACCAGCACACCCCCCCGCCCCGTTGTCCATGTGCCTGAGCATGTTTTCCAGGAGGATCTGCTCCATGATCTTACTGGCACAGAGACTGACGGGTCTGTAGTTGCCTGAGTGTTCCTTGTTTCCCCTTTTAAAATGGGGTGGGGGAATATTTCCCCTTTTCCGGGCAGTGGGAACTTTGCTGGACCACCAGGACTTCTCACATCTGATGGATAATGGCTTGAGAACGTCAGCCACCAGCTCCCTCAGCACCCAGGGGTGCATCTTGTCAGGTCCTGTGGACTTTGAGCAACCTGCTCTATGGAAGGTGTCCCTGTCCATGGCACAGGTTGGGACTGGATGAGCTTCAAGGTCCCTTCAACCCAAACCATTCTATGACTTGTGCACCTTCACTTTCCTTAGGTCTTCTTGAACCTGATCTTCTCCTACAGCTTCCTACAGGTTCTCCCAGTCCCTGCCTTTGCCTTCTGTGCTTTGGGCAGCTTGGCTGGAGCTTTTGCTGGTGAAGATCAAGGCAAATAGTCCTCGAGTACCTAAAATGTCCTTGAGTAGCTTCTCAGGGAGGAAGGTGGGGCTGGGCAGCCCTTGTTGCCTTGCACATCCCAGCCCAGGCTGACTTCCAGCTGGACTTTGGCTTTCCAAACCCCATCCCTGGCTGCCAGGGCGACGTCTCTGTCCGCCTCCCAGCTTCCCTGCCTGTGCTCCAGCCTCTGCCTCCTCCTGTCTGTGCCTGGCGTTGGCCAGGAGCTCCTGGTCACCCCAGCAGCCTCCTGGCTGCCCACTTGGGAGTCTTCAAAGCAGACCTTTGGGGAGATCCAGAGCCCAGGACCCCTCCTGCCCACCCTCAGTTCCACCATCTCCTGGTTGCCGCAGCCCAGGCTGCCTTGTTGGGGTAGATGAGCTCCAGCAGAGCCCTTCTCCTCGCCGGCTCCTGTCACTTTGAGGAGGACATTGTCATCAGCGTGCTCGGGACCTTCCTGGGCAGCTGATGTCCTGCCGTGTTGTCCCTCTCTGCAGCCCACAGGGACTCCATGAGGATCAGGTTTATGTGGACATGAAGGTGCCCCTGCCTGTCTGTTGAGGGCCTCACCCGTATGTTTTCCCTGGTGAATCCCTTCCCTTTATGTCCATGGGTGGGTGGGTGCTAGTGTCCCATCCTGGGTGCCTGGAGCTCAGGCAGACCATGGACCCCCCCCACCCCATTCCTCTCTCTGCAGCTCGGTGAGGGTCTTGGTGCCAAAGAGACACCCCAGCAGCGGTACCAGCGGCTGCAGCACGAGGTGCAGGAGCTGGCCAGGGAGGTGGAGCAGATCCAGGTGAGCATCACCCCATCACCCGGGGGGTGACACGACCACCCCATCAGCCGGGGGGGTGACACAATCGCCTTTTCTCCTCTTCCTCAGAGCACGGTAAAGGACTCGGCAGCAGAGGAGGAGCTGACGCCCATGGCCTTGGCCAGGCAGGTCGAGGGTCTGAAGCAGCAGTTGGTTTCCAGCCACCTGGAGAAGCTCCTGGGCCCCACTGCAGCCATAGACTTCGCAGACCCCGATGGTGCCCTGGCCAAGTGAGTGGGGTGCTGGGAGCCGGGTGCAGCTCGGGGGGCAAAGGGAGGGTGCTGGGGTCCCGCACCCACCTTCTCCCCCCACCCAGGCGCCTGCTGCAGCAGCTGGGGGGGGGCAAATGCAGCCAGCAAGGGCACCCAAGGGAACGCCCCTGCCAAAGAGGCGGTGCCCACCACAGATGCTGTCACCTTCGAGCTCTACTGGAGGCCGGAGCAGGACCAGTTTGCCCAGAGCGCCAAGGTGAGTCCTGAGAGGGACGTGGAGCTGCTGGAGCGAGGCCAGAGGCGGTCCCGGAGCTGCTGCGAGGGATGGAGCAGGTCTGCTCTGGAGCCAGGCTGC